AAAAAAAAAAAAAAAAAAAAAAAAAAAAATAAAATCACCTTTAGTGGAAATAAAATGTAAAGTATAACACATCAGATTTAGTATTTAATTACCTGACTTAATTAACATGCAATAATCATATTCCTATTTAAGTATAACCTTTCAGGTATTGAAATACTTGCTTTTCTTGACTATGTGGCACAATTATGGAGCGAGGCTGTATGCATTCAAGAGCTGGGAAGATTAATCTTGAGAACTTTTATTTCTGTGGATGATCTAAACTACAGCTGAAGTACATTGATTAGATTTGATTTCTATGCAGTGCAGTACTATGAATTTTCACATCACGCTGGGATACAGAAAAGTGAGAAATAATTGTCTGCTGCATTCCTTTGATCTTCATTAGGAGATGCTGTTTTGAGCCAGTTTATTGCTATTATCACTCCAGTCACACTGGTATTTGTTGCTGTGGCAATACAGAATACAATATAATGAGGGGATTACAGCAATTGCATACCATTAAATAAAGGTGTGCAATTTCAAAGGATTCAACCAACATCCTCAGGCCTAGATACCTAAACTCAGTCTTCCAAAGTCTGCATTTAGGCATCTAAATTAAAGCTGAATATTCAATAAAGAGTCTGAGCAGCCGTGGCTCCCATTCATGTTAATGGGATTAAGGGTGTACAGCAACAGCTTTGTAATCAGGCCAAATTCTATCTAGGTGCCTTTGGGCTTTCCATGATGGTATGTGGCTCAGCTAAGTGGAAAAAGTTCAAGGACACCGGAAACTTTGAAAGGGGTGGGACTATGGAAGAAGCAGCCTGCAAGAAGGCCTGGAATAGCACCATGCCACCAGCGTGGCACCATGACCAAGTCAGTTCACAACAGCATCCAGGTTTGAAAATACTGGCTCTTCTTTTTACTCTTCAGATCTATTCTGATCTTCCAGGGCATTCTGAAGGGTACACTCTCTCACCTTTATAAACTATATACTATAGCTTGCGTTTCTTAACGCACAATATTAGCTTAAGCCTTCCTCCTAATGCATAATCAATAAGTCAGCCTCTTTTTGCTGAATATGACCTTGTTTTTGCTTTATAGCTGTAGTTTTTCACTCTTAGGTGGGTCTAGATCTTGCTCTGACAGTTCCCCTTTTCCAGGCTATATTTATTCAATTTAGTTAGCCCATTTCCCAGTTCATTTTAAGTCAGGAATAGCACTTTTCCATGCTTTCTTTTATTGCCAGGTGCAAGTCTTGTCCACAGTTCAAGGTAAGCACGCAGCTTAAGCTAAGCACAAAGGTTGAAACCCAGGCCTGAAGGCCTCTGGATTTCTCTGAGGAACTACAGGGTGGGGAGACACTAAAATTCAGTGGATATAGCTTAAGGGAGGCAAAATACAAAATGCCTAAGAGATAATGGGATGTTAGAAGACCATGTTCATACTGAATTTATTTGATGTTTCATGTGTGGATAGTGCTATAGACAGGCAAGTTTCTTTGGGTAGATATGATATCTTTTGTTAAACCAACTGAATAGTTGGAAATAAGTTCTTAGCAAGCTTCTGGGTGCAAAGCTTGCTAAGAACTTTTTTTCCAGCTACTCAG